TGAGCTCCCAATTAAATTTCTCAGCTTTGAATGAAACAATCCAAATGAAAAAATATTCATTCTGTATCTGCAGAAGAAGCTACTACTAAAAAAACTAGTTTAGCCCTTCAACAAACTCTAGTTCCAGGTGCTTTGCTAGTGACTTCTACCAGTCCAATGGTGTAACTCTCTTCAAAACATCCTCAGCAAACATATACTACTTGAATGGCTCACCCTGAAATGTATTATGGGTGGCATGATTGACGAGTGATTAGTAAACGCGCATGTCATAGCAGCCTCTTCCTCTTCAGCAACTAGGCATCTACCCTGGTACTCTGTGTTACAAATATTGACAAAAGAATGAGGTGGAGTAAGTGCTTGATTCTTCCACTTCTTTACTGCCTGCAATTTAGCGTTGCTGTTGGGTATTTATAAGGGGTGCACAGATAAAGATTTGCTTGGCCAATACTGATAGCCATTTATTACCCAGCAATATCAGCCAATACCAATCTGATAACCAATTTACAGGAATGCAGCCAGGCAGCATGGAGAGCAGCTCTCTGCAGGTAAGTCTGTGGAGGGAAGGGGAATGGGGGGGAAGGAACGTGTTGGGGGGGAGAACAAGGCCCCCATAGTGAGGGATGGAGGGAGTGGCGCAGGGGCTGGGGGCTGCTTTTAACCGGAGCCGAGCCAAGCTGGGCAAGGGCAGATGCAGGCTGCTCACTGTGGACTCAGGGATCTCCTCCCTGCTGTCTTTGCCCCTGGGGTCCTGCACCAGCCACACACCCCCTGCCCACCCAGCAGTGGGAGGCACAACTCAACACCCCCACTGCTGCTGGGAGGCAGAGGGCGCACAGCCAGCATGGGGCTCCCAAGGAAAAAGTCAGCAGAGTGGACAGCTCCAAGCCTGGAGCAGGCAGCTCGTATCCATCCCGCATGCAAATCTGGGGGGGGCACATGCCCCCCCATGCCTCCCTGGGGGGATGCGCAGTGATGGGGAGCAGCCCCTCCTCCCCACCTGCCCTGCACCCCCTGGACGAGCCTCCCACAGCTCCGTCCCACTCCCCTCCCTGGTCCCAGGACCCATTCACCGCCCTGGCCAGGCAGTATCCCCAGCCCCAGCATTGGGCCCTGCCACACTCCCTCCCTCACCATGGGGGCCTCGATCTGCATCCCCATGGCCCTTCCCTTCCCCATGCCCCTTTCCCCTCCACAGACTTAACTGTAGGGCACTGCTTTCCATGCAAGTACAAGTTTCAGGTTTGCTTCATTATCCTCTTCTAAATTACTTCTCATTTTGGCTACATTTTCAGCATTAGGTTCCAACACCTGTGAGGACTTTGCTGATCCTTTGCATTCAATACTATACGTCCAACAAGCCTTACAACATAAAACCCCCAATACATGAAATAGTGCCATATTTTTTAAGCTTGACCTCAAAAGTTAGATGTTTTCCCTCATCCTTATATAGAAGAAAATCTGCCATTAATTTGAGTTTTTAGTAGCGGCTCATTGACTCAATGTATTATTTTCTTTAAATTATTTTAATAGACTAGCCAACTGCCTGTCAGGAATGACTGGGGAGGGACGGAGTGCTGCCACCCCATGCCGCCGAAAGCTCTCATGAGGGTGGGGAGGGAGAGCTTGCTTCACCATCCCCTCCGCCCCCTTGGCCAGTACTCTGTGCCACCACTCGCCACCCTGCTCTGTCACCACCGCCTGCAGGGACCAGGGCCGGGAGGGATGGTGGGGGGCAAGGCCAGTGGCTCTGGCCTTGCCCCCCCACTCCAGCCACTCTGTCCCCGCCGTCATGGTGGCGCTCTGCTACTGAGCCACCGCTGCCACCTTCTGTCCAAAACGCGCTTGGAGTACTCTGATTGGTTGTTTCAGACAACCTATCAGAGTGTGAATCAAATGTTACGGACAGATAGACACAGACAGACAAAGGCTTTTATAATATTAGAATCATAATAAATTTGTACCTTAGCCTATGCTGTATTAAATCAAATTTCATTTTAAGCTGGCTTATGTTTAAAAGGAACACTTAATTATAATTTAAATTAAAAAGTAAAAAAAATTCTGATTTAAATTTAAAAAATCAATTTTTTTTAAATAAATCAATTTTTATCCACCCTGAAAAGAGTACCAACTGATTGTTACTTTTGTTAGCAGCTCAATATTAATCTATTTTCAGTATTTTCAAAAGGCACTTACCAACCAGATACCAAAGAACCATGATATATTTATCACTCCATAGACAATGAAGTGGAAAAACATTTTGTTGCTAGCTTGCTTTTACTGGGAAAAGCAGCTAAATGCAAGAATTGGTAAAACTGCCAGGCAGAGTTGCAGCCTCCATAACATTTTTGACATTTTAATTTTCGTTTCCAAGGCTCACCTGAGTATAGTAACCTGATAAGCAGGGATTCCTGGTTTCCCGATTTAAAAAAAAAAAAAAAGTTTTCAGGTTAAAAAAAGTAACCCAAAATCCACATTTTTCTGATTAAAATGGAACAACTCCAATACATAGATGCATAAATAGCGGTGTTTCATTTTGATCACGGAAAAATGTGACCTTTCGGTTACTTTATTTAACCCGAAAATTGGGGATTTTTTAAAATCAGAGAAAACCAGGATCCCTGCTGATAAGCAAGCACAACTTGCCCATCCTACTTTGGTTCAACAGCCTAAACAACAACTGACTCAATTACCACAGCTTCTGAAAAGAAGCCTAGAGGCAGGATCAAACTTGTACTCCTGGAGGTATAACAAGATACTTTAACCACTCTGCCACTACCCCTTTCAGAAATGAGAATACACTCCAGAATTTTGCTCCCAATATAATGCTGGTCTTCATTTTAGGAGTGCAGAAAGCTTTTCCCTTAAGGGACATGATCATATTTTTAAAGAGCAAGTAAATACAGACATTAATGGAAGACATATTGAGTAAGACAACACTGTCTAATTTGCATGTTAAATAAAACTTATTGGTCATTTTAATGAGCCATATGAAATCAGTTTCTTGTTGACTACCTCATCAAAGGTCTCTGTCATTTTCTGTATTACATCACTCTTGGGTAAACTTTGAAACATCTCAGCTGTCACCATTCCTAGAGTGACAAAAATCAAAAATGGAGATTAAAATAACACTTAAATCTACAGCAACACACAATATTATAAAAACTACACAGTTCCTACTGTAGTAACCTCAGTTTAAATTCACAAGCACCAAAAGGGTAACACAAACTGTTCTACCTGTTTTCGCATTTGCATAGGTCAACAGATTTACAGCACTAGATATTACTGCATCGTCATTCACATTCACAGATTCTACCATCTATTTTTCTACCCAAAAGGATAAGGAAAAACAGACTGTTATCTATCCTGCTCTCAAGCCTATTCCTTTTCAGAAATTAAGCACACTGCAGACAGTTCAGTATTTGAAATCAAAATTGCTAGGGAAATGCTGAAGAAATCAATCGTGCTGCTTCACTACCTGACACTGTCTCCTTTGCAGTAACTTAATGCCAGGAGACATGGTGCTGGAGAAGGTGCTGGATTTCAGATGAGATGTGGAGAACAACTCTTGCCCACTAACAATCTTGTGGCAGGAGTGTTAGTGCCAGAGTGCTAGAGAAATTTCAAGTGCAGAAGTTACATTCTACCTGCCTACCACCCCTACCAGTTTCAATGGGACAATGTCTTCCACTTCATTCCCTATCTGCCATTCTGAAGCTTCAAGTCACTACTGTTTTCTATATGCTTGCTTTGGAAACAATTACATGCAGTCAACTTGCAGGAAGTAGCTGGAAGGAAGCAAGAGCTATTATTCCTCCAGCCACTGAAAAGTGAGACTCTATTTGGGAGCATATGTACTTTATTTTCAAATGAAAGGTACTCGGTGAGTGTAAAATAGTATTCCAAGAGCTACCCTATTACAGATTTTTATCTCAGCCCACATGAAAATCATTACTCTAAGTAATAGGTAGTGTTCTGCATTTTCGGGTTTTATTTTCCAAAAAAAATTTCGGGAACTTTTCGCCATTTATCTTCCAAACATAAAAACTGGGTTGAAGTTGGAATAAAAGGAAGAAAAGGGGAAAAAACGGTTCAAATTGGGGAAAATAGTAATAGTAAACATATACATATATACTTTTTAGTATGCTGACAATTCATACACATGTTTAAGCGATTTCTACATTTGTATTACAGCAATAGTTGTACTTAGCAGAAGTACCATCATCCTACTGTTGTAACTCCCTATAGTATCCATGAGCAAGGATTTAAAAAATAAAAATAAAGTCCAACATTTGCTTATCCCTAATCTCACATTCTTCTTTAATTCTAAAGTGTCGTTTGCCTTCTACACGTTCTTTTATCCTGTTGGCATGAGAACTAACTTCAATGCCACAGTACTTGCAGCGCAATGCATCTTCTTCACCTCCCTTTTTACTCTTTTTGAAAACTTCTAAACACTGATTTTCACAGATATATTCACATAGAGATTTGTGCTTTCTACCCATCTTTTACTTTTTTTTCTGTGTATATTTTTATCCAGCCCCACATTAAACAGAAGCACTAACCACCTATTTATGTCATGTGAGCCAGTTGTGGCACGATATTAACAATTTAATCTCATTTAATCTGACTGGCTCCATGGTGTGTCTGGAGAGTTTTACATATAACAATTGCTTCAGCTTCAGTGCTGCAATGCCATCCCAACAGACCGTTTTGTATTTCATAAAAATAAATACCAGGTAAAATATTATTGAGTGAATTGAAAAATGGGTGTAAATCAGTAAAAAACAAATAACTTTAATACAAAAAAAAAATCAGGTCGTTGACTGGTGAAATTTGGTAAAAACTGAAAATGTGGAACACTAGTAATAGGGTAATGGCACAGAGCACTAGATGAGCTTATCCACAGGAAGCCTGAACTAGCCACCCTTATATTATGGTAGCACTTAAATTACACAGCTCAAAAAACAAGTAGGAGTAGGAAATTTGATTTGCCTAGAGCAGATTACAATCCAGATTTTGAGTAAACAATCTTTTAAACAGTACATTTCAGCTCCAAGAAGCCTATTTTATGAGACTCTCCGCTACTGACCAACCAAAGGAAATACCAGCACTACACTGAATTACCTTGACAGCCTGAACATTGAATGAAGAAGTTAATCAGATCCAGGAGTGCCACATCTCGATCTTGTTTATATGCTTCAACCCAGTCATCTACCACAGACTAAAACAAGTTACAGAAAAAACAATGATAGATGGTTGAAAATCACAGGTTCAAGCATTCCATAATATAGTGCATCTAACATTGCGTTATCACCAGTGCAGTTAAAAAAAATAGAGGTTCACCAATATATCAGTCACATATGGGATCAGTACCAATAACAGGAAAATTAACATCATCATCAATCGGCTTTTTTTGGATGATAATGTCACTGATAAATGCCGCGTGCATATACGCAGCCACAGCATGCACACAGCCAGGAATGCAGCCAGACAACTTGGAGAGCAGTGTCGTACCAGTAACTCTATGGTGGGGAAGGGGCATGGGGGAGGGGGCAGATTGAGGCCCCCACGGTGAGCAAGTGGGGCAGCAGCAGGGGCAGGATGGTGAATGGACCCCAGGGGGGAACGTGGGACAAAGTCATGGCTGGCTCATCTAGGGGGCATGGGGGAGGGGGAAACAGCTCTCTGCCACTGTGTACACCCCTGGGGGAGGCACAGGGGGGGCAAATGACCCCCCCTCCCCAATTTGTGCAAGGGGCAAGGGTGGACTGCCTACTGTGGGCTCGGGGCCAGGGGCTGTGCCAGCCTCTTCCTGGCGGGGGGTAAGGCTGGGGCTGCGTTTGGGGCAGGAGGGGATGGGGCGGACTTAGCTGCAAGGGGTGGGCGGCAGCACTGGGATCATCTGGGGGGATATAGCCACCCCAAAATTCCCACAGTCACTTCTCCCAGCACTGCCACCACGGCCTGCCCCGTACAACTGAGCCAGCCCCACCCCTGCCTGCCCTGAGTGTAGCCTCAGCCTAGGCCCCCCACTGGGAAGAGGCTGGCATAGCCCCTGGCCCTGAGCCTGCAACAGGCCCCTGGCCCCGAGCCTGCATAAATCCAGGGGAAACATGCCCCCCATGCCTCCCCCGGGGGGCATGTAGAGGCAGAGAGTCACCACCGCCCCCCCCCACGGCATCCTCTGGACTAGCTGTGCAGCTCCATTCCATGCCCCACCCCAGGGTCCATTCACCACCCTGGCTGGGCAGCACCAGCACCTGCCCCTATCCCATTCCTTCCCTCACCATGGGGGTCTCAATCTGCCCCCTCCGTACCCTTTCCCTCCCCCCACAGACTTACCAGCAAGGTGCTGCTCTCCAAGCTGTCCAGCTGCATTCCTGTAAATCAGCTACTGCATGGGGTTTTCAACCTTTTGGGGTCAGTGTACCCCTGGTGGCCAGTCAAGAAAGAAGGAGTCCCCCGGCAGCCAGTCAACAAGCGGGGGGCAGGGGGGTCCCCCAGTGGCTGATCAGCGAGTGTGCTAGTGGCAGAAGTGGCAGCAGCACGCCAGTGGCAGAAGCACTGGCAGCACTCACAGTTGAGTACCCCCTGAGGCCTTCCCAAATACCTCAGGGCCTACACGTACCCCTTGTTGAAAACCTCAGAGCTATCAGATTGCTGGTTAATAATCGGCTATCAGTATCAGCCAAGAAAATCTTTAATCGGTGCACCCCTAACACAAAACAGAGTAAGTTCTCCATTATTTTGCTAGGACCACAACGATGTTTGTGAGCAATTCTGCAGGGAATTTACCTGTTGGAATGCTATAGCAGAAAAGTGCATGCAACTTGTAGGCAGTATAAAAACAGATGCAATACTAGGGCAAATAAAGTATTTATTATAAAAAGGATAAATATTCCACAACTTTCATGTTAAAAGCAAATAACAAAATAATAAAAAGTAACAAGTATTTGGCACCTCCACTAACCTAAACTATAATTTTTACAAGATTTGCAAAATCCAAAAACTGTTCTAAGAGAAAAACAGCTTTGAAAAGTTTACATTGACTACCAAGGTGGGGAGGGGTTTGGTTGTTTTGTTTTTAATTAACACATGCTACTGTTCCAGGCCAGCACCTAAGATAACTATAACTTTCATTTCTCTTTCTTTACATTGTAGATGTGGCAGCGCAATACTTTTGAAGACACCAGAATAAACTGAAACAGGAGAGGTTAGAAAAAAAAAAGACCTGACATTACTTGGGGGCCAAGTTATTACCTGAGAAGAGTCTTCTAAAACTTATCTTTTATTTTCAATCTATCCCTTTAACTGGTTTCTATTTATTTTTTTCTAGTAAACCGCTTTAGAAAGAATAGGGCGAAATCTTACATAATGGTGGTACTTCTCTTTAGGAATAAGAGCAGGAAAGATTGAGACAGAAAGAACAAAAAGGCCCACAGATGCTTTGCCCGCACTTCAAAGCCAGAATTCCTTCTAAATGAAAGATGCCATTTAAAGTGTGAACAACCACATAATTAATATTAGCGATGATCCATGGGAAGTTCACTTGCCAGTCCTCATCAGCAATTCATTTGTGCAGAAGACTTTGAGGGAACCTGAACAAGAGTTAGTTCATGTACTATCTGCTGCAAATTAAATAGTAAAACCAAGGACCTGTTTCTGCAAGTGCTTGACCTGGCTAGACCCTAGGTCTCCAAGGAGCCCTTTTCAACAAGGCTCTGCATGGGTACACAGGTCCATCAGCACAAAACACTGTGAAAGATCCAGGTCTGGGGTCCAATATATATATTTTAAGTAGATTTCCACTCCCCTAATTTTGTATAGCTTTCTTTAGTAATGGAAAACAATTATTGACTATAAAGGGAAAACAGGAAATCAAATATTTTATAAAATGCTATCAAATATCACAGTATTGGAATTGGGAGATAAGAGCCAAGATATCTAAAGTGATGCCTAAAGTTAGAACGCTAAGTTAGTACCCTGATTTTCAAAAGCCTAAAACCATTAGCAGTTTCTACTGATGAACCACTTGATTTTTAAAAATCAACCCTCTCCCCTTTCAAGTGCTAAAATATTACTTTAGAAGACTGCCCTTAAGCATCTTTTTTTTGGATAGTTTTCCCAAAGATCCCTTCCCTTCTAATTATACTAACTTTAAATAGTACGTGTAAATATAGCAGGCACCTTGGCAAAAATGCCAGATTTTTTCAGCTGGCCATGTAACAAAGATTATGGCAGGAGTCAACAGATTCCAAAATTCTTGAAATTAAACAACAAAAATCTACATCCATCTCCCCTTCCTGCTTCCCCCTTCTCCCTCCCCAGCAGATCTATTTAGAACAGAGGTCAGCAACCTTTTAGAAACAGGCTGAAATAATCCAACTCAATCCAAGACAGTCTTCCAACCTAGCCACTGCTGCTTCTCACCACCTTCGTCACGTGTACAATCTATCACAGAATCTGCCTCTCCCCAGTGCCCCGCCCCCAGTCGCATTCAAAACGCCACCAATATCTCAGCTCCATGGGCCAGATGAAATCACTTGTCTAAACCATTCCATTCCCAACAATGGAATTACCTGCATAGCACGCTTGCCCATGCTGACCACCTCAAACAACGTAACTGCTTCCACCACTTGGCCATTCTGCAGCTGGCTTGCTCTTCTGGTACTGGAAGAATTTCTTCTTATGTTTTCACACTGCTCTTGGACCTTCCTTTTTCCTCTCTGAAACAATTCACATGAAGAAGACAGAGTAACCATGAGACAGCTTATGGGCATACAGACATGGGCATACAAGCTGCCTGCAGGTAGGTGTTCTACCCTCTTACAACAATTATGCATGTGAATATTTGCATGTTTTACCCTCTTACAACATTTATGCATGTGAATACGTGCAAGTGGCAAAGAAATATTGAGTAAGAAAATACAGGAAGAAGAGAAAGAATACAGCCCAGTTGAACATTTCCTTTGTAATCATTGCATAAACAGGAAGGTTAAGTGGCAGACTGGTTATATACACTGTCTATAGGGTGTTTATTCAGGTTGTCAGTGAACTTAGAGCACCTAACTGCAGTTCTATTCCACCCTGAGAATGCCTGAAAAAAGTTAATAAAAAGGTGGGTAGACCTCCCCCTCCCTGCTTTCTTATGAATCAGTCTTATGGGTTAAATGACAGTGGCCACATCTACACAAGACACTGACTACACAGTAGCTCATTACTACTGCGCAGTAGTGTCGCATGGCACAAAACATGACGTGATACTACTGCACAGTAATAACGAGCTACTGCATGGTTAGCATCACCAAAAAGCTATGGGGGACGCTACTTGGGTAGACGTGGGCAGTGTGTTATAAACATACATCCATTAACGGATTTTCAGGACTTGAACGAGGTGTGGTGGGATGGAATCTGGTCCATTATGTGCATTGAAAGATTTTATATATACACATATGTGATGTAAAAGATTTTATATATACACATACACATATAGATACACATAGATATAGATACATATAGATACGCCTAGATAGACATGTATGTATGTATGTATGTATACATGTATACACACATGTATACACACGCACACACACACACATATACATATATATACACAAACTTACTGGAGTTTTCAGATTGCCATTTCTCAGACAGCTGCCGTTCTGTACAGTGGACTCAGGAACAGTCTCATCATGGATAGAATTTTCTCTGTGGAATAATAAGCAAACAGTATTGAAGAGCATACCACACCTCTCCTGTAAACCAGGTAATCTGTATCTGAAGAACAGATATGCTACATCACTACCACAGAGAAATTGCTTTTGAGCGCGCAGAAAGTTAAATACTTAGATATAAACTGTAGAGGAAAATAAAGTGTACCCATGTACAATAAACTATAAAGGCTTCCTGTAAAGGTGTGGCAGCAGTTGCATGCCTAAGGCCTAGATACATTTTACTGGTGATAGGCAGTAGCTTTCTTATTAAAACACACTTAACTTTACTTTCTGAGCCCCCTGAGACTGCATTATCTAAGTAACAGATGAAGAATCAGGTTGTTAATGAATGCTGTACACTTTGATTCTGCATAGCTCCCAGATCCTGAAATCATTTCATCTACCTGCTTAATTTTAATTTTTCTTCTGTGAAAAGTACCATTAAACATTTTGAATGGTGGTGGCAAAATTCAAAGGGTGCTCAAGTGTTTGCAGGATTGAAGACAAGGAAAGTAATTTTAGGGCGCACAAGGTCTTATTGTTCAAAGTTTTTATTGATTTGGAGGCCTGTCTGGAGAGAAAAGATTGATTACAGACCATACAAGTGTAGCAAAACCCCCCGTTTTTTCTTTTTTTATTTATTTTAAAAAGCATTCCCTCCCCTTCCCCAACCATTTCTGACTTTTTCGCTCCCTCTCTATTCCCTATAGATAAGTATAAGTAAGCTAAGATGTAGGATAAGCTTTAACATTTTATTTTAGGTAGTAAGTTTTATTTTTCTCTCCCCTCTTTGCAAATAAGTTCCCTGCTATTTTGATATCGATACCCACTGTTTTATAAGTGATACTTATTATGTTTGTACTGCTTTTATATTGTGTGACTACTATTTTAGGCCTGTATATGTAAGTTACCGTAAGTCATGTCAAGTTTCCATTTTGTATGTCATGCCTCCTGTCACTAGGGTCACACAAGGTCTGCTCCTATAAAAAAGAAAAGTAAAGACAGACCCAGTGGGACACCCTCTCCATCTGGACCAGCACCATGCCACACCACCTATCCACCCAGAGGCCCTGCCAGCGACCCCCCCTCTGGACAACAGCTACTGGACAAGGACCCCTTTCCAGCCTGAACAGGTAGCTATAACCCCCGACCCCCTCCAAGAACTTGGACTCTGCTTCTCTTCCCTACCTGGACTCCAGCCCTTCCACTGTGTCTCTTTCTCCCGCTGCATGCGTGCGTGCGCCAGTAACTTCATGGGGCTGTGTAGTGTGCTGTCTGTGTAATAAAACTGTTATTTGGACCCCTAAGTTGGGTTTTGCTTTACTATAGTTTGGCCCTGCTCCAATCTCTGCTCCTCGCCCCTCTAACTTCTGTCTCATTTCTCCCTCTCCTGCTTCTGGCTCACTGCCACCTCCAACACCTGTCCTGAGCTCCTCTCTGCCTCCAAACCCCCTGTTTCTTTGCCACTGTCTTATCCCCACTGCCTTTTCCTTTTCCCCATGAGCAACCAGGTTTCTGCCTCAGTTTCTTTCTTGGCTGTCTCCTCCTTGCCACCACTTATCTGCCCCCCCAATATCTCAGCCGTCTGCCTCAGTTTCCAGCCCCAGCCTACCTTAGGTAAACCCAAGCCTCAGTTCCTCAGCCAGTTTCTCTGTAGTCCACTGGTTCTAATCCTGGTTCTGGCAACTTTCACTCCCTACACTTTAACTCTCTCTCTCTCACCTGAACCTTCCCCCAAGTATCCCAGGCACCCCAAGCAAACACATATACACTGTACCATCCAAGTAAGGAACTTACCTGTGTGTACGTGTAGGTGGGTTGTATGTGTGTGAACTGATGAGTGTGCGTGTGTGTATATATATCATTGTGTGCATGATATACAAATTAGTGTTCTGTGTCTAACTTTTGGGGTGTATAGTGTATGTGCTTGAACTGGTGATAGGTATGCATGTGCCTAGGCTGGTTTGGATGTGTATGTGCCTGAGCTGGTAGTGTGTGTGTGTATGCACCTAACTAATTTGTGTGTTTGTATATGTGCAATTGTGTCACACCCTCCTGTCTAACAGTACAATACTGAGATCCTGAGAGTTGGCCTGACCCCACAGGGCAACACAAGTGTTAATGTTAATGCTAGAAGACAACTATATACAGTAAAAGCTCCATTATCCAACATCCCCCCGGGAATGGGGAATGCCAAATAACAAAATATGCCGGTTAACTGAGCAGCCCAAACCGGCATCCTTGCCTGCTCGGGCCACCGCTTCTCCCGCCGCATCTGGGGCATCACTGCCCCTCCCGCAGGCCCTGCGGGCCCCGGGGGACGGGGAGGCGGGCCCCGCACAGTCTGTTATGCCCCCAGGCTGTGGGGGCTCAGCAGCGCAGGCTACTTTGCCCCGGGCTGTGGGAGCTCGGAGAAACTGGAAGTGCCACAGGGGGCACTTCCGGTTTCACTTTACCTTACAAGGCAGCATGCCGGTTAATAGAGCATGCCACCTTGTAAGGTGCCAGTTAATGGAACTTTTACTGTACTAGACAAATGGTTTTCAATCTTTTTTCATTTCCAGACCCCTACAAAATTTTGAATGGAGGTGCAAACCCCTTTGAATCATAAGGATGGATATTCACATACTTTTGATTGATCATAGTCATCTTTCGCAACCCGCCCCCCCTACCCCCCCACCTACCGGGGTCTGAGGACCACAGGTTAAAATCCACTGGATTTGACTTATCAGATGCTTCTCTTTAGATTTTATTTTTGAGCAGCAGCAACCAAGTGATGCAATCAAATGTTGTTTAAACCTTTCTAGTTCAACCCACGGATACTAAAAAAAAGAAACATTTTTAGCTTATTCTTCTAATAAGGACTGTTTTCCTGCTTTCAATTGGAACCTGTCACACATTAATCCACTACAGCTCACAAATTAATTTAAAAATCTATCCAAGAACATTCTTCTGTTTTTTTCTTCTACACAATTTATTTGTCTCCTACCAGGTTTTGAAGCTGGGGCTGAGCTAACATGTTGTTACCTGTGCTGTTTAACTAGAACTGCAACATAGATGATGTTCAGTATTTCACTACTTGCCACAATTAAAACTCAATGCTCATCTCCAATATTTTACAGTTTTTCCTCAGTGGTTCTCATATACTATTCAGCAACTTACTTGTACCAAAGATCACTGACATTATAAAGATTCTTAGCTTTTAAAGCCAAGAAAAACCATCAGATCATCTATTCTCATCTGCAGGATCACATGGGCCACACTGGCTTATAGCATACAGACCTTTCCCCAAGAACACCACAGAAGTCTTAAAAGTGACCTACTGATGGGAAAATCATCTCTAAATTCAGTAGGATAACAGCAGAGGGGAAGTTGGCCTATGCCATGTTTTTTGTTTCTGTTTTGTTTTTAAATAATTTGTATCCACAGCCAAATTGGCCAAAACTAATGCCAAATCCAAGTGTCCAGAACCAAAAGTGGCCCTACTACCGGCAAACATCCTCCACCTGGCACCTGGGGCCTCAGATGTTTCCAAATCCTTTAGCAGGCACCAAACTTGCAGGCCCAAGCCTGGAGGCTTGGGGTTCAGATGCTCCCGAGTTTTGCTTACCCTCAGCCATAAGGCCCTCAGAGCAAGCAAGGGAGGAGACTCCCATTTCCGTAAACCAGGCTTAAAGCCACTGCACCTCGTCAGGTACTAAACCACGCTAGAAGAACAGTTCTCCTGCAAAGCGGTTCAGGAAAACTGCCTTCCTAGACAGATACATGGTATTTACCCTGTCAGATTAAGAAGCGACACATGATATTAATATATTAATCCAAGAAAGAAAGACTTGCTGGGACTGGTGCCAGGTCAAGAGATTAAAGGGTGCCTACAGCAGTGTGCAAATGATGCAACTGAAAGGACAGGGTGTGGCATGACATGCTTCCCAACGCTGCAAAATATAGGGGAAGACTGCTGACCAGGAGCTTCAACACATAATTTTCCCTGATTGTTATGATGTGACTCTACAAGCATTCTTCACTCAACCCAGGGCTGTCCAACTTGTATCCCCCTGGGGAATGTCTCCTCCAGGGGCTTGCATGCTGTGTAGTTCACATCAGGTGAGGCACAGGTCACTGGGCTGTGCTCCATGAAGACTCTCCCCCGCCCCACCCCTTGCTGCACTGCATACCCACACAGGCATCCCCTTGCTTCCTGCAACCCCCCTGCACAGCCTAAGACTCCCCCTCACCCCCCAACACAGAGTGCCACATTACCCCACCTCTTGGGGCAGAGGCAAGAAGCAGCAACTGGAGGAGGAAATGGGAACCCAGAAGCTCCAGCTGCTGTTGCAGCCAGAGTAATGGTATGAGCAGCAGCATGTGGCCAGCAGGCCACCAGTTAGACTGCCCTTATATATACAAAATAAATCTTTTTTCTCATCTATGCCAACTAGTCTATAAGGAACAGACAAGCACCAAAATACAGCTGCTACTCCTCACTTAACATCATAGTTACGTTCTTGAAAAATGCGACTTTAAGCAAAACTATGTTAATTGAATCCAATTACATCACAGTAGTTACCTACTAGCAGGCGAAGGGCAAACAACACTATACCGAATGCTGCGTGACTTTAAACGAGTAAGCGTGACTTTAAACGAGTACGATTTCTAATAAATCAGCGATGTAATAATAAAACAATGTTAACCGAGACGACATTAAGTGAAAAGTACCTGTACCAAAACCTTCTACATCATTTGAATTATCAGGACACTCCTGTAAAGCAACATCACAAGCTGCAACATACAAACCACCAAACCCCACCAAGTTAGGAAGAACCAATAAAACAAGGCAAAGTAAATGGAAGAAAAAAAACGTGTTTCCCTTTCTCTCCCTCCTCCTTTTTATTGTCTGTAAGGTTTTTATTTAGAAGGCTGTGGCACAGGAACTGGTTATCTTACTGTCCAATAATGCTCAAAGATACATACAGGACCCATATACAAGTTTTTACTGATTTGGAAGTTTAGGCAATATAGATCTTTAGGCATTACTGTGTGTGTGGGTGCATGCACGTGCATATGTTTTATTTATGTATGTGCATGTACACAGGTACAAATATATACCCATACATACATACCACAGCACAAAGGATCTGAGCAAAACTAACTCTATCAAGTTTTTAGTTCCCTAGATCACTCAGGCAGATTTATTTTGTATCTGTTAGCAAGTATTTTGGTCCTCATATTTACTCAAATACAAGACCACCCTGATTATAAGATGAATCTGCAATAATTAGGTTCTATATATATAAAATGTATAAATTCAGTATAATTTTCCCGGTATAGAATCTAATTATTGAAGTTTTGTCTTGAATTCGTCCCCTTCCCACTGCTAGAGGAAAAATAATTATGGGGGTTCAAACAGCCCCCTTGCCCTCTGCCTCCTTCAATTTCTTCCCCCTGAAGCCCCTTCCCCTCCCCCAATCTTTACAGTCAAACCCTGCTCTCTCTGAGCACAGATGAGCAAATTTGAAAATGCTGACCTTCCAAATAAACATAGCTGTAGCAATTTGCACATAGTGCCCATAGAACAAGTTCATCCAGAATTGATGCATTTTGTCTTTTTTGGAAACTGCTGCAAGTTTTAGCACAGGTACGCCATACACACACTTTTAAGCAGCCCTCTGGCACCTACTCAGAGGTAGTACAAACTATGCATGATATTAATCCAAAACCAAAAGCCTCATAATTTATCATATAGATCATTGGGCTGGGCCCCAGCAGAGTCAACAGCATTTCACATACCTCCCCTCACCCCCAGCTGACTCCCAGGAAGCCCCACTCACCCACACACACACGTCCCTGTGCACACCCCCACCACACAAGGGCAGGGTATGCAGGGAGTAGATCATACCTGTCTTGTTCTCAAACACTGCTCCCTGCCCACTCAAAGCCCCATGGGGAGTTTTGACAAGTTGTTTGGGGCAGGGGGGAGGGAAATGCTGACTCAGCCCATGACAGCTTATGAAAATTACCTAAGTGGCCCTCAGGCCCAAATAACTGTCCACTCCTGCACTAACCTATCTTTGTAGTAGGTTCCCATCTGCATGTTTGCCCAGTATAGGCTATGTATTTTATAGTCATGCTCAGTGCTAGCTGCACTTAATCAGCTTCATAGTTGGTTTCCATCATTATGCCATTCCATTTCCATCCCATTCCAGCATTCCACATGCTGCTTCTGCCAGCAGTTTAATAATAGACAATGTATTTAACAAGGTTTCCTTGTGGGTGAATATATGAGAAGGGGCTTTGTTTCCAGGTTGACTGAGGGAAAAAACCCTGTCTTGTACTTCAATAGGACAATTTCTCTTTCTGGTAAGTGGCAAAGTTCCTCTCTCTCAAAATGTTTATGATTATTTTTGGTAGAGAGCTTTTAACCACAACTTAAGACCTACATTTTACAAAAACCTAAGTACATGTATCCTTTAGGCTTTCTTGATGAAAAAGGGGTGCATTTGGAGGCTGGATAGTGATGCTTTAGAAATAGTATTCATGCAGGAGGTTGAACTAGATGATCCTTGAGGTCCTTTCCAAGCCTAATTCTATGATATGATGATCTGCTTAAGTAGTTGCAGGATTTGGACACAAATTTGGGGCCATTTAGCTTGCACTACTGAACTAAATTAAATGGATGTGATTTTTGTTTTTGGCAAATCTTTAATCATTGTTAAGATATTAGAATTGTTTAAAATATTTTCAAAATGAATTAAATTCCTGTATCCTATGTCACAGAAAAGACAGCTATGGCACCTTTGGGTTTGAGAATGAATGTACATACCGTTACAACTGGTAGCACTGAAAGATTTCATATGTAACCTCGGAGAAAGGCCTTTGAAGAGTGTGTGGGTGCCTGCATGCAAATTTCCCATGCCATATTTTGAAAGCATAGATGTGCATCTGATATCTTTAAAATCACCCCCATCCTTTTGTACCTAAAAATGATCTTGGATTTTATGATTACAAATGAGCTCTCATCTTGTTTCAGTGAGAAATCAGTAAAAAGGAAAGCACAGCTAGGACTGCTTCTCTGTCTGCTAGTAGCTTTGGATTTTAGACTTTGCTGCTAAAGAATTATGAGCACATCTGTACCTTGCACTAATCTTCACAATATGGTCCCCTTGCTAGTCAATAAACTACACCATCTAGAGGGAACCATGGGCTAAATGGGAAGTAAAGACCTGTTATATTCCCAATTCCAATCTGTCTTTGGTATCTGGGGGTCTCAGTATCTGGTCTTTGTTTGTAAATATTTGGGGCCAGATACTTGGACCATATTTAACCAGATTCCATCTTTACTACAATTTAAGTGTGTGTAAGGGGCAGTCAACCTGTATTACTAAATGATACCTACAAACATAAAGAATAGTACAAGCTATAATAAAGCTGGTTGCTATATCACTAAAAATATTTCAGAGGCCATATTAGAGTCCCACCTTACCCCTAACTCTTCTACATAACATCTTAATTGATGAGCTTACGTCCAATGGGAAACCACTGAAAAGAGCACTGGAAGGGAACCTGAGCCAAAAGTAAACTCTCATCAACGAGGCCTAGCAATGAGCACACCTCCTCATGCCAGCAGAGGTGGCTTGTTCAGGAGCTGACAGATCATCAGGCAATTGGTTATATTTTATGAGGCTTAACAAGGATGCAAAGACATACAGAAAGGGGTAGTGCATGTACAAAGCTCCTCCTCCTCTCTTGTGAATCTGGACAATTTTGTCCAGTTCTTAATTCTGCTTTTAATTTGTTTGTCATTCCTATTCCTTGAGGTTTGCAAATATTGTTCTAAATGCATCTAAGTTACACGTCACCTTGCCAAGGGATAGTATCTCTCATAGTAAACAAATAGCAAGGTTAGACTAAGAGTCTGAAGGTTTGATGTGCAAGTGCACCCACGGTAATGCCAAAGCGGATCAAAGGCACAGAACAAACGTACTAGATCAGCGTTTCTCAACCCATGGGTTGCAAACTAAAAGTGAGTCACAAGAATATATGAAAGGGTCATGAGCAAACTTTAAAAATGGATTCTTCTTTAAAGGAGAAAAACATGGGAAACCATGGCTTTTTCCTTGCAAGCTGGGACTGCTTGGGGCCCCACATACTGGGGGCTGGGGCAGGAGCAATGAAGGGTACTGGATCAGGACTGGCCATCTATGTTTGCAAATGGGTCCTGGTACAAAAAAGGTTGAGAGCCACTGGACTAGATGAAGGCACGATCTACTTAAAAGGAAGGGATAGAGGAAGCAGTCAGTGGAACAGTAAGAGCAGATCACAGACAAAAAACCTGGCCCAAACAGCCATGCAGCATGAACCCACCCTGTCACTGCAGAGGCAATGCCCCAAGCAGGGCTGTCTGGTTTCAGAGCAGCATTAGTCATGGGTCATAGGCTATACGGCCTGCAAACTCCTGGACCCCCTGCCAAAGCATAGCCCCTCTGCTACCCGATCTCCCCACACTGCCGCCACTGCATGGGTGAGCATGTACTGCATGGGTGAGCATGTACTGTGGCATGACCAGTCCCCAGCCACACGAGATCTCCCGCCCCACCCTGCTGCTGTTGCACAGCCTCCACCATGTCAGCTGTGCAAGCCCACCCCCTGCACTGCCACCACCATGTGACCCTTCTGCCAGCACTGCTGTGTGGACAGTGCAAGGTCCCCTCTGCTGCCAGGTGTGCCTCCCATGAGCCCTGCTGCCTGCCCCAAAGACCCCAGCCCCCACCATAGGGACAGGAGCAACAGAGTAGGCAAGAAGCAGTGGGCCATACATTAACCCCTCACGGGCCACCAGCTGCCCAGCCCTGCCCCGAAGCATTGCAGCCACGGCTGCCTGGACTTACTGGTGGCTGGCGGCGATGCCACTGCTGGGCTCCGCGATCATCTCCGCTGCATCCTGTTGGCGGTGTGGACAGCACAGAGACAAGAGCAGCAGGGCCCCCCCGGTTCCACTCGGTTCCTACCTGGGGTTGGGGGGGAAAAAGCAGCTAAGAACCAGAGGCAACCCCGCTTCCCCACCACCCAGCAAGGGGGTGGAAAGACATGCCCAGCAGCGGGGAAGGCAAAGGCCTGGCACTTCACAGCCACAAGAGGCAGGAGCGGAGAGCATACAGTGAGCCCAGCGCCCTTGCAGTGTGGGCATGGGGGTGTTGCCCCTACCCTGAGCGCGCTCCTGGGGGGTGCAACGCAAGGAGGCGGCACTGCAGGGGCGGGGGGGGGTGCTGCAATGCAGTGTAACGCAGTGAAGAGAGACCTCCGCTGCCCCCGCGCGCGACCCGCCCAGGCTGCACAGACCCCGCCCAGAGCCAGAACCCTCCGCGCAGCCAATCCGCTGCCCCGGCCCGCAGTCACGTGCCGCAGCCGGCAGAGGGCAGAGCACAGCTGAGCCGAGCCGAGCCGAGCGGAGCAGAGCGCAGGCGCG